TGCCATACTTTTCCGAAAGAACCTTCCGATTCCCCATTCACCTGGAGCTTTTCTGATATCATTCCACGGACAGTTTTACTCTAGTATAAATAGCTTTCCGTTGGCCTTTCGTGGAGTTTTAATTTGACCAATGGAGACAATTACACTCACTTACATTTGAAGGAATTTTGATTCCATTTTACGGAATTAGTAACCCGTAACGTTCCTGCACTGGACAACGCGATGACATTTCCGCCCATTATGGACGTATTTAGCCACAAGGAACAACTGCACTTACCTTCCACATGACAAGTCCAGTGTGTATAGCTGGACAAGGTTTGCGAACCAGACAAGTAGGTAACGGAAAAGCCAGCTTCCTTTAACAAACTTTTACTCACCCGCACCCTTTATCATTCGACTTTGCGACTCGCATCATTGACCGGTTTCAACGACTACTGCCGGTGCACTACCATGCCAATCGGTCAACCAAGGAAGAATTTTGGCTGCCAGCCGACCGCGAACAATAGAGTGCAAACTCGGTTTGTACTATGTATAGTCGGTTAGCACTACAGTTGAAGGGAAGCTACGGCGGTGTTCCAGAATGTGGTGGGTTTTCGCCTGGCAAGCGTTCTCCCTATAAAAAGCCACAAATGTCCGCTTAACAACACTGCAACAAGGCGGATGTGACTCGCCACTGAATAAAGTCACAGCTGAACATTTCCCACTGACGCGGTCCTCACTTTTACATACAACCTTTGCAGCCAAATTTACTATGAAGAATGCTTTGATGGAGCACAGAACATTCCGAGTTCTTACTGCTTCTTGATTGCACCAAAACCTTGTTTGGACTCCTGTGCTCATGGATGATTACATGGCAAAATCACGCCCAACTTGTATCTTGACACAACGGTTATGACTGATTTTTACGCGCCCCGGCGCCATCATGTTTCCTGGTCTGACTATTACCTGACAAATTGCTTACTCGTATGGACTACAGCTTTTCAGTTATATCTTTCATTTTAACGAAATGTTTTACTATTCTAAAGAAGCTCTGCTTTTATGCAAATTTGCTCGCGTATTCACATGTGTGCCTCGTTTTACCGAAAATAAACCATTTATTTATTTATTTAAATATTTGCTTCAAGCGTACTTCTTTCCCTTTTCATGCATGCTATCCTAGTGCTTGGCAATGCTTAACGGCTCTTCAGGTTTAGTAGTAATAAAGGAACATAGGAGAGGTGGAGCATCACAAATCGACAGAATTACGAGCGCTATTGAGGTCTTTATGTATACCTGACCACTCCCACCATGTGTGTTCCCGATGGCGAGGTAGGTATACGTGCCGTAACCGTCATGAGGGGAGGCACCGCATTTGTGAGTTGTGGGTGTACCTAAGGATCAAGCGGAAGCAGACACTTGGTAATAAAGGAAGAAAACAGCCTGAAAAGGGAAAACTTAAAAGCACCGAGGGCGGGTTAAATGCTGCTGTCCATTGTACGACGCGCACAGCTATGATGCCGCAGGCCGCAGTCTTAACCTATAACCCAGTCAACCATTTGCCCGCTCTGTGCCTCGCAGACTGCCTGAAGGCACAAAGCACAATTGTCACTGTCGTAATTGTCTGGGAGCTATGCACGGCAACGACTCGTACTTGGAGGCTTATACACGCTGGCAGCAGTGGTGCGCAAATGTCAAAAATGTAGTGAATTCCCTTCTTTCTCATGACCGACGGACACATCTGGAATGGGCACTATAAGTTGCTTACTTCTTGTGCCTTCCCTGGTCAGTTCATCCATAGCTTCCGCTGCTGCTTCATTTATTGCTTCGGATTCGGACGTCTCAATGTCCTCGTGAGAAATAGGTAGGTTGTGTAGCAACTCCCGCAAAAGATCCATCGCCTCATACTTTGCATCGCCAAGGCTACAAATCTGCACCTGAATATCACCAGCAACCTGACTGCACTCGCGAAGCTTCTGCTCCCTAGTTACTGAAGCCAATGTGGAAGTGGACGGCAGCGGGACGATTGCGGACGACGTGGCTGCGGTTACCCGCGGATGTTGCGCGAGTGACACAACCCAGCGACTGTTGCGCAACATTTCGTCCACCGGTCGGCAGACCGCTTGCAATGCATGCATTATGTGAGCGCGAGGAAGTAGCTATTGCCGACTAATGCCACATTGGCAAGTTAGGCCCCCACACAATGACACGGTGTATTGCCTACAGCAACCTTGCTCTTGACATCTACCATTGGACTAGTCGGTCACGGTCACCGTTCTCTTGAGTAGTGACATCGCAAGCGCATCTTGGCGGACCCTAAAAACTGAGAAGCAGCCTGCCCAAGGTTATCGAAGCAAGGGTCCAATATTTGCTCAGACAAGTCCGTTTTGCCCATCAAAACTTGCCACGGGTTTAGGACATCAAACACGCGGTTAACGACCGCGGTAAACAGATATATAATAACGAAGTTCGCTCCAAATGCCTGCGCTTTAAATGCATAGTTTCCTTCTCCACCCGGTTTGTTGTACAGCAGCCGAACAAACAGGTTGACGTCAGGCGGTGCGCTGTCTATGATGAGACAAACGACAAGCAAATCCTTACCAAATACCTGTGCGCCTCGGTGTTTTGCGCTTTAATGTCTGTCAAGCACCTGTCAAACAACGAGAAGCTCCATGCACACGTCACTTTGCCCTCCTATTGGTAAATGAGCAGGCTGTGCCTTGTAGTGTTGGCGGATGACCCGTTGCAGCGAAGGGCAACGTCCTGCAATAAATGCAAACAGTACAATGCAATGCGCAGACGGGTACCCGGATTGAAAAGCATGCGCCTGGGCCATGCACTTATCCAGCACCACGGTCCTTTCTGTCTCACTCGCCGGTAACATAAGGCGCAGATTGCGCACAGCATTCACGTAAGATGCCGTTGTCTCATTTGTAAGAAAGACGTAGAAAAATGAACGTCCTATAACAAGCACATCTACCAACCTGTAGTGCCACAACATGTAGCCACCGCTGTTCATCTGGTTGGTCGCACCTACCAGCCTTACCTAACTGTAAAGCTCCACGAGGGCAAGTACGTACATAGAAAGAAAAATAAGCACCGTATCTCCGAGGCCTCGCACTCGACATTACACTAACCGATGCTGCCCAGCAACTGAACCACTGCTTCACCTGAGTTCCCGTCCACCTTCCCCTCATCTTATGTCGCATGGTCCGGAGGTCGTAACGGTTTCACCCTCTACCGTTGTGCGTGAACGTTTACTTCTGAGCACGCGTGTGTCTTTAAACGACCGCATCATAGGATAGACGTTCTCTTCCGAGTGCTGCGGGAGCCTTCTGCTGCTCACGTGGAGAAAGGGCTGGCCCACCTGAAAGGCATGACTGTGCACAACGCTGTAGGATGCTACGACGTAGCACCAGCCGTTACGCCGTATGCGAATATTGGACTTGCTGCCATAACATTTGTACCTATGGTTCCTAAGCGTTTCCTAAATGTTCCCTGTCAACCATATGTCAGCTGTGCACAGTGTGCGGTACCATGAAGCAGCTAATGACAAGATCAGTTGCCGCGGAGATTAAGTAATAAGGCGCGGACGGTTCTTTTGCATTCAGACGGACAACTACGTGTGGCATTCTACAAGGTAGGTGGACATGCAGTAATCCATAAAACTGCGAAGGCATCATTCAGCAACACATGGGGATGCAGCCTCGGCTGCTGAGGCTTCACGCCACAGCAAAACGTGATTGCGCTCTGCACGGCACAAGAGACCGTCTGTTGATAAAACTTAAGGGTGCATTGGCACAGAGACAAGTGCACTGCTTAAATATGAATATCTTTAGCCTCCTACGTTGTCAATCGCCGAAGCGGATCCAACACCTTGACAATGCCGCTTTTTGGTTACAAACCCGATTTTCGTACTATGCACCTATACGTACATAAACCTTTCTTATTCCACATTCGGCATTTTCTTTCGCCTTGTAAGGTTCCCAGCTGCATGCCCAGCGCCGTTTAGTTTTCTGACCAGCAGCACGAAGCGCTGCTTAAATGTGTTCCTACGTCCCGCATCTGCGGCCACACATACTGCTTGAACATTGAGTCGGAAGCGGCAGGTGATTCGTTAGGTACCAAGTGCGTGGTAGTGTGATGTCCGTATTCAGATAACGTTGGTAGGCAATCAACGTTCCTGGGGCTGCCTGATTAATAAGCATAGCGGTGCATTTCAATTGGTCAACGCTGGGATTGTTTTTAATGATCCGCCGAAGACTGGACAAAATCCGTCTTTAGCCGTCTCACGTTATACGATTCTGTAAAGCTTAGCCTAAAGCTCACCTAGGAACGTTTAGGAGGCTAATCTGGACAGGATCTGGACATGTGCTACTAGGGGTTAGTCCCTCCAAGTCACCTGATCTCTGCTGTCACCCATTGAAACTGCATAACTCACGGTCTGATCGGATTAAGATGGAAACTCGTCTGTCGCTCCAAGTTACAAAGCTCTGTAATTCGCTTCCAGATGATGTGCTAAGGGAATCTACGTTGGAGGGTTTTGCGCGTACGCTCGATGCTCTTGCGTGACAACCCCAAAAATTTCCTTTTTCCTAACTGACTCAGTTGCAGTTTTCAGTGCTTTATATTAACACAAATATCTTGGTATTCAACTTGCTTAGCCCTCCACTTTCTCTACTTGCCCTCTGAGTTTACTTTTGTCGCTTTCCCTCTTCATGCAACCGGCCCAGCGGGGACTGCTAGTGCAGGATACGAGGGCATTGATTAGTTGGACAGGATATGATGCGACATATGTTTTTCGTCCATCAGTATTTTAATGTCCGCCAACTTGTTCATCGACCCGTTAAGAAGAAACACTAACGGGATAATCCTATCGTTCCCGTCCCACTTGAACGTGAACTTAAACAAATGAATTCGCAGTTGGAGCCGATAATCCGTGGTTCTTATTAATTCGTAGCATGTGATAATTCGTATGCTTTTATACTACTATAATATTTGGGTCAAACATCGTTGATACTTTTAGCACCCCTGGGTCACACTATCCTTTTTCGTTCGAATTATTGGCGCGTTGTCATGACTGATGGAGACCCGGAGGTGCCCGGTGTCATTACTCTCCGTAGGAACGTGCTGCGGACTTCTGAAACATCCGATGGCAATGTAAATCAAAGTGATGATAATTTTGACGACGGATCTTCAAAAGATGTGCGATTGAGTTTGATGGAAGAAATTCTGCTCCTCGGCCTAAAGGAGCGCGAGGTGAGTTTCCCAACTCTCCGGTCATTTGTCGCAGGGACATCTATCCTTTTGGAACGACAGTGTAAGCTGCGGTTTGAGGGGATGTGTTTTAGCCGAGCTTGCCTTGCGCAATCGTATAGCGCTTGAGCCAGCTGGTATGCGACGTCGAGGCCTATTTTCAAGAATTGTTGTCGTGAAAAATGGCTTACCAACGGGTGACGCTTTGTTGGATGAGGCTTTGAAGCTCATTAAAACTAATAAACCTGAGAATGTAAAATCCTGGATTGATTATTTGAGCGGTATGTGGTAAACCATTATGTATTTTCACCGCAGGCGAAACTTGGAACCCGTTCAAATTACCATTGCAAATGCGCAACGTCAGGGAAAGGATTGCTAAAAGTTTAGTCGAAAAGGGCGTATGTACCACCGAAAAGCAAAACTTCGTCGTTTTCGACATGATGACTCATCCATTGGTAGACTTTCAAACCAAGCAACGAGTGATGCATCGAATACAGGATTTGGTACTCAATCGGTGGAGTCCAGACGTTAGCAAATTAGACAAGCGTCTTCTTTCTCTCATTATTTTGGCTCATCATTCAGATGTTCTTGATACCGCGTTAGCGCCTCTATCAGATTCGGACTACGATTTGGCTCGGAAGCGTGTTGGATACCTACTTCATACTAACTTTGAGGCCGAAGCTGCTAAAGACAGTGTGCTGGATCTTCTATGGGCTGTCTATGCCTCTTTTGCCGTTTAAAGCTACGAATCCCAAATTTGATGGCTGTGATGTTTGCGGTTCCTTTACCACCACGTCGGCTTTGGTACTTTGGTGGTACTTGCTTTCCATCGGGCAGCAGAGCTGTGATGCGTTATCCATCTACTTGTATCATTTGCACTAAAACTGGAATGCCTATACTCTGATGTCCCATTCGGTGGTGGTCCGAGTCTAAGGGTCAAGCCCAAGCAGTCGCTAGCGTCCGCTTACCTGTTTCACTTCATTGTACTTTGCCTCACTCCCCTGGGACATTTTTTGACAACGCCATTAGCATTGTACAAAATGCTTGCACCTATGTAGTTAAAATTGCGATTTTTACGGACCCTCAACCACTCGGCGAAGTGGAACCTAGCACTTGATACCATCGAATACACTTTGGCTCATTCCCCGGCGCTCTTTCCTATATAACTATCATTCGTTTCCCTCAAAAGTCACCTGTTCCCTTACTGCAGTACTTTGGTCGTTGGTCTTCCTGTTTCTGTCTTCGGTAGCGGTACACCGATTTCGGTAGTCTTTTCTTTCGGTGTTTCACACCAGTCACCTCCAGTATCTCCTTTACATCGCTTTTTAAACTGACTTCACACAGCAGTTGTTGAATTTGTATTACGTTCTTTGCTGATTTGACGTCTTTCGACTCTAATTGATTTCTGCGTCTTCATTACTACGATGTTCGCAATTTTTCGCGCTAAGTCCTATGTATACACATTTTGTCCGCTGGTTGGTCGCTGGGACCAACTCCTTGCGACTGTGTATCACGTTGAGTCACACTACGTGCCACACTTTATTCTCACTTGCAGGCTGTATCCTCTTTCCGTGCTTCGGTGCAGCCGGCATTACTATATTATATGCGCGTTACTTATTCCGTGTATCAGTAGGTACCTCGTCGCTCACCACCGGAGAGTATTGAGTGACTGTTTTTCGTTAGAATAAGCTGTAAGTCTGAACCATGCCAAACAATTTGACTACCCGACCAAAGCTATCGCAGTCACATCTGTTGACTTTTCACACTGGCTATATTCTGCTGTTGTGTCTGGTTGGTCGAATTTCTATGTGCTTTATGGAGGCGTAACTAGAAAGCGTTGGCAGTTTGAGTAGGTTGATGAGCCGTACGTAAACTTACCATCTTCCTTATGGGGATCAGACCGCCAACCACATAAATGAATACACGAATCTGCTGTAGTGCACCCTTCACCACACATCACTTAGCTATTTTACTGAAATACAAGGTTACCCAATAATCGCATGAAGAACAAAGCGAGCAAGTTTTGCGCCTCGTTTTTATCATGCTTTTTGAATGAGGATGTGGTCGCGGCGCTGGGTGGTAGAGGTAGGAACGAAGAAACTACCCAAACGCCACTGACCTCAACTCGTCGCTATGTCAACAATTCCCCCCAAACAAGCGTGTTCATCGCCTTCCGGGTCCTATCCTGGGAATCGGGATAGATCAATCCACTCAGTTGGACTGTACCTCGCACCGCCGAGGAATAAACCGTTTTGTTCTTTTTTTTAAAACAATTTCTGGTTGAGAGCGTTTACACATCTACACTCCCTCTTTTTTCATCCATAACCAGGTCGCACAAGCCGGAGTCAATGTGTTGTCATGCGTAAAACATGACAGCCATCGGAAGTTGGTGTGTGAAACAACGGTACTGAGCGGTTCACTTACTCTTCCTGTGCCAAGAACAGGACGAATGCGCCCATTGCTCACCTGGTTTTCCCCACTAGACATGAGCTGAACTGCGAAAGCACCGACGATATGGTGCGTTGGTAAAGCTTCTGCTCTTGTTCTCATTCTAATGCTTTCAGTTACCGCCGCTTTTGTCACAGCGTTTTTTCTGTGATTTTTACCCCCTCTCGTTTCGTCTTTTTCAATTCGTCGAATCGCATCTCCTTTGCTTCACCTACGTTAGTTGCGGGAAGAGTATAGCCGAACAAACCACGACTTGGTCATTTATCGCTGATGATGAATCATTGAATTGTAGAAAGTATGTGGGAACCCTTGTCAGCTTCATCGCATCCCGGTCAGAGCAGGGACGATGCGTGACATTGAGAAACGGCATTCACAATGTTTCGTTACAGCTACAACGAAAGGAAGATGATCCAGACACGCAGCAGATGAAGGTCCAATAGCCTCTTAAAACTTTTCTCACTGGACACAACAGGTCCCGGCAGAGTTCCCATCGTTCATCACCCGAGTGGATAGTGATCTCTGGACGCGCCTGGAGTTTCATCAAACTACACCACCTCCTACCTTGACCACAGTGTAGCCTCAAAAGGGTCATATCTGCTGTATACTGAAGAACGGATAAGCGAATGCTTACTCCTGCTGGCACTTCTTTTTCCATCTGTTTCTCTTTTACCTATCCGACTCCATTACAATAATTCCTTTTATAAGTCACGAGAAGCTTACCGATGCGCCGCACCTGCGCTTCGCTTCTGCGTGACTGTCATCAGTCGCGCACAGGTCAGTGATACTGCGAAGTTACTCGCGCCTATTCTAGCTCGAACCGGTTACTATTAGGTTAAATAGCACGTGGCCAATCCCTCCAGCCCCCGGAGATAACTACCTTTAGGGTTCTACCATCTGCAGCTATTTTATTTCATCACCCCTTTATAAGGCTGATGTGCTGTGCTTCCCATTCAGATTGGTCAACAGGCTGCACTTGCACGCACGTTGTACACCCTAAACGTTAACCTCTGTTACGTGTCCAAAACTGGTATTAATAACCCTCGCGTTCTCGCCAAACTGGCTACACCCAGTCTATCCTCTCGTCATTGGTTGTATGCCTTCGGAGCACCAGTATTGGCATTTACCTGAGCCTGACTTCACCATTACCGGTGACATTCTGGAACAAGTCCCTTGATTTACTTATCTAGGGGTTTGTATCACGACTGCAGCGGTATTGAACTTGAGGTGTCACAACGGGCCGCAAAAGCACGTCTTGCGTTCATGAGGCTGAGACACCTGTGGTATCGCGATGTCAGTCTTAAGTTCAAGAACAGTGTAAAATGCCTCTGCGCGGTCCTCTTATATGGCTGTGAGACGATCTGTCTGCTCGGAAGACGTGATATGATTACCAGTTTTGGACAACCGTTATCTCCGAAGGTTTGCTCATGTGTGGTGGCAACACCAAGTAAGCAACACAGAAGTCCGAGCGTTTGAGACGGAAGACCTCCAAAATCACATGCATTGCCTCGGCCACTTGTTCCGCATGCCAATCTATCATCTTCCATGCCGGGCGTTATTTGCACTTCGCGAAAGCGATTGGGGAAAGTGCCACGGTGAACAACCAATAACGTGGAGAAGGCACCCCCAAGCCTGATCAAGCTTTTTTGTCAACCAAATAAACCGATCGATAGTCCACAAATCTCACTGCGACCTCAAGCTTAGCTCCCGTCGGACCCGCCTTCCAGGCTGGGGACCAAGCGACACTGACTCCCATTGGTTGTAAATTAGGATGTTATAGCCAGCCACAGACATCAGTGGCGCCAGTGTTGTTTTGCCGCATCAACTAAGGTTGGTTCGCGAAGTAGTACTCGATGATGTTTGTATTTTTCACATATTCACTCACCGACTGCAGTTCTGATGCTCTCAGGAACGTCTCCTATCATGTGGTTACACCCTGAACCGTCAACCGTTCTAGACCACGTGCATCGACTCTGATCAGGCCTTGGTACGCCGTCGTATTTCTGTAGGCTTCACCAGAAAGCGTGCTAAATGTCCACCTCGATTAGTAACGGTGACATTATCCCAACCACCGGTCGAGCAATTCTACCACGATGCCTTGCGTACCGAACTTCAATGGAATAGTATCTCGGCCGCCATGAACGATACAAGAGCTTCCGCTTGCAGCACTGATACCCGTCTTTGCACCAGTCATCCTCACCATTTTACACTAACTGAAGAATGAATTACCTCAGCTACTGTGCCGCAATACAGTGCAGTAAGACACTCGAAAAAATGTGCAGAAAATAGGCTGCAGCAAACGAAATAGTGACAGTACTATGCCATTTTGTTATTGTGCATCGATAGTGAGACCGTGGTTGGAGATGAAGAGGGACAAAGGAACCTACAAGCTACAACGCCGGTCCATAGTCTAAAAGATCACAAGCTTGTCTTGTAATCCGAAGGCGCGGGTTCGAACCTGCGTAGCGGACCTGTGGACCCTAGCATTATCCTTAACCCACCCGTGACTGCTGGTAGTTGCGCGGCAGCGAGTTGTTGATACTGCATACCGGCGTACCGCTGATATCTTTACAACACGAGCGATATTGCGGCTCCTGGCCATGCTGACAAGTGTAGTCAATCAAACATGTTCAATGTATTTTTGGCCCCAGCTCGGTCGTCAGGACTTTCCAACCGAGGCGAACTTTGTGGTGAGAGTCTTCATTCCCCTTGATCCAGTGGTCGGTTGGCCTACCTTCCTCTTCCATCTACACCACGGTCGCTCAAACCACACATCACCGGAGCCGGTGCACTGGCATGCATAATGCGACTTAACCATCGGGGCTATGTGCTTGAGATGTTGGGTCTGATCAGTTCACTTGCTCTTCCTGTGCATATACAAGATGCCGAGCACGCTCATTGATCACGTGTTTGTCCGACCAGATATGCGCTAAACTTCAAAGGTACTGGTGGCTGAGCGCAACTAGCCTCTTCATGTCTTTCGATCTGATGGGTCGTTTCGCAAACGTATAGAACGGTTGAACGGACAGTTGTATTGTAGACTATCCCTCGATGAGGGTGGTGTCGCCCCGGTGCCATAAATGGCGAAGTTGAATAAAATGGCCTGGATCTTTTGCTATACGGCCAGCCCTTAGCATTAAGGTAACGAGCTTGTACTATGACGGCGCAGGTTCGAGCGTGCGTTTGGGCAGAGCGACCCTCGCAATATCCATTGCCAACTTGCGACTGGTGGTGGTTACACGGCAGCGAAGCGTCGATACTGCATAACAGCGTACTGCTGATGATTTTTCGCCATATGGCTCATCATCTCTTATCCCGCAGGGGCTGAGACAACTGCCCAAATTGTTGAATTTATGACCGACTTTTAGCTGTAGGAAGTGGATCCTGCCAGTCTTGAATGGTGCAAAGCGGAGCCTGAAACGGCTGACAACCAGTGCTGCCTATCATCTTTTATGGGCCGTCATGAAGGAGAATGGTATCATCGTCATACTCAAAGTTAAGCAGTCAATCACTTGAAAGCATCTGATGAACGCAGTTTCGAAGTCAAACAAGTGATAGCAGGCATCCCTATTTTACACCACTGGCGCTATTGAAGCTTACCATATGCCCTCATTCTGTCCGAACAATGATTGTAAAGCACTCTGCTAATATTTACTATTTTTAGAGCATCTTTCTTGATCAAACAGCCTCAAAGGGCGCATCGGTCCACAGAGTCGAGAAACACGACTCCTCGTGCGTCAGAGATAGCAGTGGCCGCTGCCCATCGGGTCATTCCGTCTGATACGGGAAACGGGCAGCAGTAGACCTGGTGTTAGTGAAACAATTTATAACGTGAATGGACAGTCTATCCACTTGTCGAAACGTTTGGAGCATTGGGCTGCGCATTATTTAAAAAGCAATTTAATCGGACGGAATCGTTAGATTCCTTATCGGCCAGTGATCGCGCTGCTCCCTGGGCCATCCCTTTAGGTCGGTCCTCTCGCTCAGAAGTCGAACATGAGATCGAACTGTTAAGGCTGGATTAAGCCGCGGGACCAGATCATCTTCATCCAGCCCCATACAAATTCGGAGGCCATGCCCTTCTTGATGATTTACACGAATTACTAGCGTAAATGTGGAAGCAGGAAACTGTCCCAATCGATTGGAGCCGCTCCGTTATTGTCCCGATCTTCAAAGGAGGCTTGCGTTCGAACTGCCGCCACCACAGAGGAATCAGTCTGGTTCCCATCGCCTCCAAAGTGCTTGCCTCTTTGATCCTTCACACACTGACTGGCGCTCGTGAAAGCCAGATTCGTGAGGAGT